ATGCTGTTTCGCGTCTCTGAGCAACATGACGGTGTTTCGTTCCTGAGTGAATCATCCGATTAAATGATTCGGTTCAATCGCAATGAGTCATTTATTAACAGTGACTTGCTGCCACCTGCTGGCGGTTTTAATGTCACATTCAGGGAATCTTTTATTATTTAAAAAATTTCAAATATCAGTATTCAAAAGATAATTACGGAGCCCCTAAAGGGACATGGTGGCGGAAAAAAATCAGATTGAGTGAAAAAATTTGGGGTGGGAGGAAAAAATATTTGTCAGATTTCTTTCAGAAAAAAATGGCGTTATAAAGGTAAAAATGCCCATAAAATGTAAAAATCAGTTAACTTATTGGAAACGATTAATTTCTATCAGTGTGAACGGACCACCACACAGAATATGAAGAATATCAAAAACTTTATGAGTCAGATTTCAGAAAAAAATGGCGTTATAAAGGTAAAAATGCCCATAAAATGTAAAAATCAGTTAACTTATTGGAAACGATTCATTTCTATCAGTGTGAACGGACCACCACACAGAATATGAAGAATATCAAAAACTTTAGGAGTCAGCTGTCCACGGCAGTCTTTAAGGTACCAGCACAATAACACATTCAGCAAAATATCGTCTAATTATCGGTATCGATAAAATCCCAGAAAATATCGAGATATTCTTTTTTGTCAATATCGCACACCCCTAGTCTGTGCATGTAAATACTGTAAAGCATGTAAAAAATATCTTTGGTGGCATTCATGAAGATTACGACTGAAGTACTTACTCCACTAGGCTTGATAGAGCTGATCGTGTCAATATTTTAAACGTGCATGCGTGTCTGAATGTAAACAGACAGAATGTGTGTTTAAAGACTGGATCTGTGCATTACACCTTGCAGTGTGAATGCAGCTTGAGCTTTACTGAACTCATTGAAATGTCTTGATTATGAATGAATGATTGTCTTTTGTAGGTAATTGAGCTGCCTCTGACCAATCCTGAGCTATTCCAGAGGGTGGGCATTATTCCTCCCAAGGGCTGCCTGCTGTACGGACCGCCAGGTCAGTCACTCTATTATGCTTTGTTGGGCAATTACTGATATGCATGTGAAATGGTACATTTTCACACAAAGTGCTTACTTTTTTAAAGGCACTGGAAAGACCCTTCTTGCCAGAGCTGTGGCCAGTCAGCTGGACTGCAATTTCCTGAAGGTCTGTTGATTTTGATGCTATAAACAAACAGTTTGGCTCGGGTCGCACTGACACAGGACAACTGTTAATGCTGTAAGGTCATAGTGTTGAATAAAACATGTTGTTTATCAGGTGGTGTCCAGCTCCATTGTGGACAAGTACATTGGTGAGAGTGCCAGACTCATCAGAGAGATGTTCAACTACGCCAGAGACCATCAGCCCTGCATTATCTTCATGGATGAGATCGATGCTATTGGTAATGCTCTTCGGCTCACTGCAGTCCAAGCCACTCTTATAATGCGTAATGGAAATTCAGTTGTTCTTAATTGATTTAACATATACTTTCTCTTTGAAGGTGGACGTCGATTTTCTGAAGGAACTTCTGCAGATAGAGAGATCCAGAGGACACTGATGGAGGTATGGAGGTGGTTTGTAACTTACCTTGTGAATGAAGCTTAACAAAATGAATAAACTCTTTTTCTTGTCAATTAATGCTTAATTATTTGAATTTGAATCTTCCTATATATCAATGTACAAGCAAAAAAAAAAGAAAAGAAAAGCACTAATTGGAGCAAATATTTCTGTCTGTCTGTCAGCTGTTGAATCAGATGGATGGATTTGACACTCTGCATAGAGTCAAGATGATCATGGCCACCAACCGGCCAGACACTTTAGACCCTGCCCTGCTGCGTCCTGGCCGACTGGACAGAAAGATCCGTAAGTTTGACTCTTTCACTATCATTCAGTGACTGTGGTAAGACAACTTGAGCTAATTTTTCTTTTCCTAATGTACAGACATTGAGTTGCCCAATGAACAGGCTCGTCTGGACATCCTGAAGATCCACTCTGGACCCATCACCAAGCATGGAGAAATAGGTGCGCTTCAGATTTTCTGGTTTGGTTTTTACAGCTGCTACTTTTTTTTTGAAGTATTTCCTTTTCCTCCCTCATCACATTTCCTTTTGTCTCCAGATTATGAAGCCATCGTCAAGCTTTCAGACGGTTTCAATGGAGCTGATTTGAGGAATGTGTGCACTGAAGCTGGTAAGAAATGTCATATGCATTGCAATGTGCAAATCAAGGAGTCCTAAAAAAGCATTAAAGGAATGGTTCATAACAGTTGATTTAAAAACTATAAATTGTGCACCATGCTAATATAATTAGGGCTGCAACTTTTGATAATCGATTCATCTGTAGATTGCCTTTGATTAATCCGATAAAAAGTCAATTTATTTTCAGTATTTTATTTTAAAAAGTTATTCTGCATCCTGTCCAATGTTGCCCCCCATACAATGTGTAAATCGAAGGCTTACAACTACAGTATATGTATTTATGTAGAATAAACTTCATGTGCAAAATAATTGTAAAAAAACATGAACATTCTAAAATGTGCCCACTGTAATAAAGAACAACAAATGCAGAGACTAAACACACAGTCACACATTGGAACATAGTAATTAAATTACATTTATACCCCATTACAATAGTCTCCTTACAGTTACTGCTCTCATTAAAATATAAGTACTTGGCAAGGCAAGGCGGCTGTTGGATGTTTTTTCACGAACAAATGTGATTCATCAAATTCAGTAATCGTGTTCATTGATTTATCTACTTTATCGATTAGTTGTTGCAGCCCTAAATATAATGAAACATTTTTAAAACACATTTTGTCAGTATTTACAACTTTTAAAAAAATAGATGTTAGTGGAGTCTAATAGCATTACGCTAACCAGCCAAACTTTGAACATTTGAGCCTCTACAATTCCCACTGTATGACCTCTTCTACTTTTTATCCAACAGGTATGTTTGCCATTCGTGCCGACCACGAGTACGTGACTCAGGAGGATTTCATGAAAGCTGTGAGGAAGGTGGCAGACTCTAAGAAGCTGGAGTCCAAACTGGACTACAAGCCTGTATAAAACCTTTTTTTTGTGCAAAGTATAAATGTGAGGGGTTTTCGGTCAGTAAACAGTATACTGTCCATGGACACAACACTTTTTTTTTTTTAAGTTACTGCAATAGTTTTTTTTTGTCAACATTTGAAAGCATTCTGATGTTCCATTTCCATTATTACCATCAAGTGACTTCAGCTGTTCAGTTAATGCATTGTTTACCCCAATTTGATCAAAATAATATTTACCTGTTGGCCAAGTGTAGACTTGTATGATGATACAGCTCTTTAGAAATCTGTGTGATCAGTTATATAAACTGTGTGTGCCTGGCCTGCTTTTCCACATTATTAAAGTCAATGATTAAAGAAATAAATAAAATAAACTCCCATGTTGTTTCCACAGTATCGCTGTATCTCTCAAAATCCTTTGGTGGGAAGAAAAACTCCACAATGATTCCTTCTGAAATGTGTATTTGTTAGTTTAACCAATATATTGAAAATAAAAATAAATATTCTATTCAACTTAAAATCTCTATATTAAACATCTTACTTTACACTCAACTTCAAAAGCCTAAAATGTACATAATTCTGGAAGAGTTCATACTTGGGGTTAAAGGTCAGCTGCCTGCATCTCTTTACCTTGAAGATGCTACGTTTACTTTTCGAATTTTGCCTTTCCAGCAAAGCCTGGCTTTCAATACTGGGTTTACACAGGTTTAGTCTTCTGCTAAGTCCTCATCACGAGCTGGTTGGTTAGCCAGAGCAAAAGATTCAAGGACAAAGGCCCGGCAGATCGGACAGTGCTGGAAGTGGCACACGCAGCCGTCGCATACGCATGCATGTCTGCATGGCAACAGCACTCTGTTAATCGGTGCATTCTGACACACCACACAGTCCCTGCCTTGGGTATCAGGCCACTCCCCTTCTGACTCAGACTCCTGCCCCTTCTCACCTGGCCTTTTGGGCTGTGGCTCCGCCCCTTGCGTGCTTATCGAAGGCTCTGTGGTTCCAGACAAGTTGCTGTTGTCTGCTGACATGAAGAGAGGCTGTGGAAACAAATAGTTTTAAAGTCCCCATAAAATCAAAATTAAAGTTTTTTGGGTGTTAGCATCAATATGTTAGTCTTAAGGTTATCTATAAGCCAGTGTGCTCCAAAACAGTGACAAAATTCGGATTTAGAAGATATAAGCATTCAAAGCTTGCAGTTCGTCACTTCATATCACTTCGAATCATATGCGCGAGTCGGCATATATTAAACACTTAAAACTACACAGCCTCGGCATGATTATGATCACTATTTTGTTTTACTAAGAGTTTCATACTGAATCTAAGGGGTAATCTATTAGACTGTGGCTGTCAAATGCGGCTTTACCGAGCTCAACGGCTCTGGCCCAAGCAGATATAAACAAAACGCTAATGGCTACTTTAAAAAGGGGGCGGGGCTGCTCGATATGTCCCGCCCTGTCTTCCTGTTTCAGTTGAAATTACGTCACCACATAGAATAATGCTGCATGTTTCAAGGCACTTCAGGGGACCTTTAAAGATGTTCCATTTCCATTATTACCATCAAGTGACTTCAGCTGTTCAGTTAATGCATTGTTTACCCCAATTTGATCAAAATAATATTTACCTGTTGGCCAAGTGTAGACTTGTATGATGATACAGCTCTTTAGAAATCTGTGTGATCAGTTATATAAACTGTGTGTGCCTGGCCTGCTTTTCCACATTATTAAAGTCAATGATTAAAGAAATAAATAAAATAAACTCCCATGTTGTTTCCACAGTATCGCTGTATCTCTCAAAATCCTTTGGTGGGAAGAAAAACTCCACAATGATTCCTTCTGAAATGTGTATTTGTTAGTTTAACCAATATATTGAAAATAAAAATAAATATTCTATTCAACTTAAAATCTCTATATTAAACATCTTACTTTACACTCAACTTCAAAAGCCTAAAATGTACATAATTCTGGAAGAGTTCATACTTGGGGTTAAAGGTCAGCTGCCTGCATCTCTTTACCTTGAAGATGCTACGTTTACTTTTCGAATTTTGCCTTTCCAGCAAAGCCTGGCTTTCAATACTGGGTTTACACAGGTTTAGTCTTCTGCTAAGTCCTCATCACGAGCTGGTTGGTTAGCCAGAGCAAAAGATTCAAGGACAAAGGCCCGGCAGATCGGACAGTGCTGGAAGTGGCACACGCAGCCGTCGCATACGCATGCATGTCTGCATGGCAACAGCACTCTGTTAATCGGTGCATTCTGACACACCACACAGTCCCTGCCTTGGGTATCAGGCCACTCCCCTTCTGACTCAGACTCCTGCCCCTTCTCACCTGGCCTTTTGGGCTGTGGCTCCGCCCCTTGCGTGCTTATCGAAGGCTCTGTGGTTCCAGACAAGTTGCTGTTGTCTGCTGACATGAAGAGAGGCTGTGGAAACAAATAGTTTTAAAGTCCCCATAAAATCAAAATTAAAGTTTTTTGGGTGTTAGCATCAATATGTTAGTCTTAAGGTTATCTATAAGCCAGTGTGCTCCAAAACAGTGACAAAATTCGGATTTAGAAGATATAAGCATTCAAAGCTTGCAGTTCGTCACTTCATATCACTTCAAATCATATGCGCGAGTCGGCATATATTAAACACTTAAAACTACACAGCCTCAGCATGATTATGATCACTATTTTGTTTCTACTAAGAGTTTCATATTGAATCTAGAGGGTAATCTATTAGATTGTGGCTGTCAAATGCGGCTTTACCGAGCTCAACGGCTCTGGCCCGAGCAGATATAAACAAAACGCTATTGGCTACTTTAAAAAGTGGGCGGGGCTGTTCGATATGTCCCGCCCTGTCTTCCTGTTTCAGTTGAAATTACGTCACCACATAGAATAATGCTGCATGTTTCAAGGCACTTCAGGGGACCTTTAACCACACAATCCCGCTCTAGACAAGGCACTTAATTAATGGTATATAATTAAACACTGTCCCATTTTACTTTAGGGACACTAGGTGATGAAGATTAAGTGTGATCAAAATGAGCATACAAAAACGGATCCCAGAACAGTAAAAAATGACAATGTTGTGAACACGTTTTCATACCTTCAGATCGTACAAATTCCCTTGTGCCGTGAGGAGATACTGAAACAAGATTCTCGCAGAGAGTCTGTATTTGTCATCAGGAACGTGGAGGACTGTCACACTGGCCACCTAGAGAGACGACAGAATAATGGACTTCATCTTGTCCCATCAAGCAAATGATGAAGAAAAGACTGCTGCTTACAATATTGTAGTTGTCTCTGGTTTCTGGATTGGCCAGTGTCAGCACAGCAACCAAGGGGTATCGATCCCGGGGGAGCAACCCAAAATCGGTTACTCCGAGATCTGGAGGCATCTGGGTGACGTATTCTTCTTTTTCTTCTTTATGTATACTAACGCTATGTTAAGGACAAAACATGAAATTGTGTTCCATCATATTAATTAAAAAATGTTTTATTTGTCACATAGGGGAGAGTGGGAGACATGTAAAATGTGTTTTATCACCATATATTTAGGCAGTCATATACAGATGCTATAACAAATGATAACATTATAAACCTAAGTTATATAAAAACTAATACAAAAATTGAGAACTGAATATTACACTCTTTCCTGGCTGGTTTATACAAATGTAAGCAATGTGAATGTGCTTGTATATGTTTACAAAACAATTTAGATTTGGATATATATATATATATCTTAAAAAATGTTTATATTTCTAATAAACAGTAATACAATATTTCTATTTCTAACTGAACATTCTATTCATCAATCTAGTTTTGCCGTTACAAGAATAAATTACATATTAAATTATATTAAAATAGAAATATTTTTATTTGTAATAATATTGCACAATATTAATGTTTTTACAGCATTTTTGATCAAATACATGAAGCCTTAGTGTTACATTAAAAAGCTAACTGACCTCAAACTTCTGAATGGTAGTGAACATTTTTATTTTAAAGATAAATCATCATAATGGCATGATATAGTAGTTATTGTTTTTCCATTTATGTACAGTATATCGTATACATTTATGTGCAATTTTATTTGAAATGCAATCATCATGTTAACATGATGAATGGTTAATTTATTTATAGAATTTCTTTTTACTCATCTTGATGACATGATATAGTTTACCTCTAATGTACAGCAAGTTGTCTCCGAATCACTTTTTTTTTTGTTGAGAAATCACATTTCCATACTCATTTCAGTTAATGGCACACATCCAGAAATACATTTAGACATATTAGTTTTACTTCAATCTATTTTTTCTTTACCTTGAGGACAATTTAAGTCAAAAGTGGCAGAGTTTCCCTCACTCTCCCCTGTTCTGTTGCAAAGATAATGTGAAATGTTATTACAGAGCTATTTCTAAGACTATACTTGAGAGGATACTTGAAGCTTTGGTGGTGAAGGTAGCTTAACTCCAGAGCCTCTTGAAACAGCTCTGGTGTGCGGAGCCGGAGCCCGTGCTGGTGACTCTGAAGGGCCGCCTGGAGAGCCTGGACCCCACAGCCCCAGAAACAGCTGAGGACGCAGTCTTCAAGACAATACGGCTGCAAACTCACACCCTCTGACACAATGAGAAAACACACACACTTACTGAGCACATTTTACTCATTTCATATTGATTCAACATTGTTATTGTTCGTTTCTCACCAGTTACTGTACCAGCCGTAGAGTCCATCTCCAAAGCGAAGGGATTGGTCACCTGCACCATCTTCCTCTCAGAGACAGCTGTTAGAGATTCAGTCTCATCTGAACTGCGTAAAATTACCGGGACATCAAATCCAAACCTTGACAGACGAGGCCAAAATGAGTTAGACAGAGATTAAGGATGTAACCACCAATTTCTGCTTTTAAGAAGGAACTAGATAACTAGAGATGCCATATTAAACCCAAAAAAACATTAACTTCACACCTTAAAGAAGTCCATACTTAACACAAATACATCTAACACTGGTCTAAAATGTAGTTTATCCAGATAAATATGAACTTACCAGCCCAACACAACAGCCACAGTGATAATGAAACATACTGCTATGACAGCAATGTAAAAGAGAGGAGAATACTCATACAACATCACTAAAAACTCCGCGGCCATTATTAAAATGTTACATTAATACAATGCGCATAAATGTCGGTACGTCCGATAAAATAAATACTTTTTTAAAGTGCGGTAGTCTTGTATGCTATGCAGTCTTGCGTTGGGCTGTCACCCTGCAAGACTCACCAAAGTAAACTTCCGGTTGTGACAGCCGCTACGGTGGTCCGGAGGTCCAGATCCGCACATGACTCTAATACCGTCACGCATAGGGAGGAGCGTTACAGCAAGATAGTGGAGGGAAGTCCGATTCAGTCCAGGAATCGGCTCTTTCAAACAAATCATTTCAATGAACCGTTTTAAAAATGAATCTGTTTTGGTTACGTCATCACGTAACGAAGCGTCATTTTTTTTAATGTAAAATTCTACCGTCGTTCAAACCTTCTTATTCCACTTTTACTTTTTTTTTTTTTTTTTTTTTTACAGTCTATGGTTCAAACGCAAATACCGAACATTATACAATAATGCATGCAAAACTAAAGCAGAACAATATTTTATTACATTATTAATAGCCTAGTATACAAATGAGAATAACTGCAATCGGGTATAAATACATCAAATACATACAAATAATAATAATAAAAACCTCACGATTAATAAAACCATAAATATAGGGTTTAAATTAGTAAACTGGCTTCTAAGAATAAGAAATTTACTCACAAATATGTGACCATAGACCACAAAACCAGTCATAAGGGCCTTTTTTTTAATTGATAAATTGATAATACAACTATTTGAAAATCTGGAATCTGAGGGTGCAAAAACATCAAAATATTGAGAAAATCGCCTTTAAAGTTGTGCAAATGAAGTCCTTACTAATCAAAATTAAGTTTTGATATATTTACGGTACAAAATATCTTCATGGAATATTATCTTTAATATACTAATGATTTTTGGCATACAAGTAAAATTGATAATTTTGACCCATAATGTATTGTTGGCTTGCTACAAATATATCCATGCTATTTAGGACTGGTTTTGTGGTCCAGGGTCACATATGAGTAAATCAATTAAATACACTTTTCATCCTCTTTAGAATATTCAGTGTAGCCAAAAAGTAAAAGTGAACACTGAATGTTTTCATTGAAAAAAAAAAAATTTATATTCTGTATCTCTCAATAAGTAGAATGCCTAAATAAATGCCAAGTTGATTCATATAGTTTTCACAGAAAGTACAGTGTATGCTTTTTAAAGTATATTACGTTTTATATTACGTTTTTGTTTATTAATAAGGTTGTTTACTGCATTTTTAACCAAGCTTATTAAAACAACGTTATTTAGAATAGGCCTGCTGCCTACTTATATTATTTAAGCCACATAAAGATAAACTATAAACAGTCTAAGCCTAAGGCATATTCCAGTCCGCTATAAGGCAGAAATAATATGTGATATTTCAAAAACAGCAACGGTTTTCGCCACTGGTCCATTGTACTCGCTCAGTTTAACGAGGACTCGAGAACCGCTCGGACAGATTCAGCCGTGGACGACTCGTTCAGACTGATTCTGTGAACCGGTTGAACCAATTCATTGAAAAGATCCGACTCAACAGAAAGGTTCGTTCACGAGTCGGACAGACGCCGCTAAAGAGCAAGAGGGGCTCCACAGAGAGAAATACAGTCGGCATATTAATGGAAAGTGAACAGCTTGCCGTGTCCGCCCTGTAAGTTGAGGACTGTGCGACTGAATTCGCCTTTATTTAATGGAGTTTCAAGTCCAGCGTGTGTGATTGACGCATCCGTACAGATGCTGGCCGCTCCGGTCGCGCCGGGGGAAGGAGAGGTTTTGACACCGTTAGATTTGTTGTTATTATAATCAGCTGACCGCTGCTGGAATCGCTCCGTTTGCTGTTTACTAGAAAGCGGCGACAGCGATGAGCGCTTGTCAGGACAAAACGTCTTTGAGTTGTTCGCAAAGCAGGGAAAATGTCAGCGCCGTTAAATGGGGAAGGATGGAGGATGCGTGCGCGTCCTGCTTTGACGAACCCACGGGCGACGCGATACGCGCCGGGATGGACGCGGTGCAGGCGGGCATAGACGGACATCTGCCGCTGCCCCGAGGCCAACGCCAACTGATGCTAGGCCTGGTGGAAGAGGGTTTCGCCAGCTATCATGGCCGTCTCGGTTCCGACCCGGACTCCGATTATCTCGACATCACCGGAGACCTCAACTACAGCGAAAGTGACGGGAACGTCGCCACGAAAAATCGCAACCGCTCCAACAGCTCGCGGCACCGCGGGGAAGTTGTCACGGAGCTCGGACCCGAGGAGGTGCGCTGGTTCTACAAAGAGGACAAGCGGACCTGGAAACCGTTTGTTGGACACGATTCTTTGAAAATCGAGTTGGCTTATCGCAAATACTGCGAACTTAATCCGAACGAGGTCAAACGGAGGGATGCGGGCGAAGAAGCGGAGGATTTATTCGAGGCACCGTCAGGATGCGAAGCCCCGGAGGTCCGGAGACAGTCGGCGGCGCTGGCAGCGCAACCGGTAACCGAGAGCGCGGAGGCTGGATGCTGCACGGAAGAGACGGAGCTGGATTCAGAAAGCATCAACGTGGACGCAGTGTGCGTCCGCGGAGGACTCTACGAGGTGGACATCAACAAGAAAGACTGTTATCCTGTATACTGGAACCGTGAGTATTTTTACAAGAAAACAAAAATAGATGTTTTGCAGAATGTTCATACAGCTCTTATACATACAGCAATATTACTTGAGGCTGTCAAAAGCACCATGAAAGTGTCCTAAAAAGTAGTCTGTGTATATTTCAAATAATCTTGTGTGAGATAAAAACTGAAGATTTAAGTCATTATTGTCAAATTGTAGCCAAGACATCTAGACACACTTCAGCATTGAAATCAGTTGCATGCCAGTGGCATCATTCTGTACTTGCCTTCTCAATTTCAAGCTTAGTGTTCACAGTCCAAAACAATGAAACTAACTACCATACAGACAAAAGTTCACTTCAAGAATGAACAAAGTGGCATCAATGAATGTGAATTTAGGTGTTTGAGAAAACAGTGCAAACTTAGCGAAAAAGAGAAATCTATATATTGCTTTTCTCTATATGAAACATAGACTTTATTCAAGCCATGAAAAATGTCATAAAAGTTGTGCTGTCAAACGATTAATCGCGATTAATCACATCCAAAATAAAAGTTTTAGTTTACATGATATATGTGTGTGTACTGTGTATATTTATTATGTATATATAAATACACACACATGCATGTATATATTTAAGAAAAATATGTTGTTTATATATTAAATATATTTATAATATAAAATACATTTTATAAATATAAATATATACACGCAAATATATATATATGACCCTTTTAGACTTGCACTCTATTCATTTACTAACTGCTTGTTTTCTTTAAAAAAAACATTAACACTAGCTTGCTCTATTCTTTTTGTATTCTATGTATTTCTTTTCTTTTTATTTATTCTATAATTAAAAAAACCCTTGCTATGTGTACTACGTTAAGCTAACCGAGACTTGTTACAGCACTTGCGTATCATTGCTCTTTTGTTGATTTTGATTGCTTCCATTGTAAGTCGCTTTGGATAAAAGCGTCTGCTAAATGACTAAATGTAAATGAAAATACATGTACAGTACATATTTTCAAAATATATGCTGTATGTGTGTGTATTTATTTATACATAATAAATATACACAGTACACACACATCACATCATGTAAACAAAAACTTGTCAGATGAAATGTTTCTACAGAAACGGATAACAATTCATACTGCTTGCATTTACAGAACAGGACCACATCCCAGTCATGAGGGGCCAGTGGTTCACGGACGGGACCTGGTTGCCACTGGAGGAAGAGGACAGTGACCTCATTGAACTGGAGCACCTGGGCCGTTTCCGAGGCCGGCAGATGAAAGACACCTTTGACACGGAAGCGGTGGCCACCACGGTGGACAGCAAAGATGGTAATAAACCATGTTACGAATAGGACTCAGGGTTAGGGAAGCTTTGTTATAGGGGTCAAGCACACAAAAAAGGCCGACTTAACATTAACGCTTAGTTCAGCTGATCTAGAGGCGCGCTCATGAATGAACCACAACCCAAACCAGACATCCTGTTTGTCTCATATGACACACATTTGAAGTAAGTCAATCCCTGGTGACATGTATACTACAGAAGGGCTATTGACTGTCACTTGTGTTTGCAAATAGTCAAAAAGACCCTTAATTGAAATGAACTGAGCTGGTTAGGCATTACTTAACAGTCAGGTAATTTGAAACACGACATGTTTGACTTCTGCCCTTAATTCACTCAGCCATTCACAGTCTGAAACTGAGCCGGAGCCACGTGGACTGGCACAGCGTGGATGAAGTGTACCTTTACAGCGATGCTACCACTTCAAAGATTGCACGGACTGTTACTCAGAAACTGGGATTCTCCAAAGGTTTGTAACAATCTTGATTAGTAAGTACATTCTCAGTGGTGTTGCTTATTAAAAAAAGACTGGTGCATGAAATGGCTTGATGAGTGCAGTATTCTGTCTTAAAGGGGTAGTTCACCCAACAATTCTGTCATTAATTACTCACCCTCATGTCGTTCCAAACCTGTAAGACCTCCGTTCATCTACAGAACACAAATTAAGATATTTTTGATGAAGCTCTCTGACCCTCCCATAGACAGCAAGGATCCTACCACGATCAAGGCTCAGAAACGTAGTAAGGACATCGGTAAAATAATCCATGTGACATCAGGGGTTCAACCGTAATTTTACGAAGCTACAAAGCTACTTTTTGTGTGCAAAGAAAACAAAAATAACGACTTTATTCAACAATTCGTCTCTTCCGCGTCACCCTGGCAGCACTTTCCCAATATATTTAAATGTAACATTAAGTGATACACTAGAGTTAAAATGATGAATTATACAAGTAATTTACATAAGCTTTAGTATGTTAGTCAACAGAAGTAGGCCTAAGTGTACTTCTTCAAAGCATAACAGAATTTTATTAAAGGGGTCATATGATGCGATTTCAAGTTTTCCTATCTCTTTGGAGTGTTACAAGCTGATTGTGCATAGATAAGATCCCTGAAGTTGCAATTAAAAATGAACTTTAAAGTAAAACCTTGATTTCACATTACGAAGTGCACTTTTTAAAAATCTTTTATGTTCAATAGAAGAAAGAAGCTCATATAGGTTTGGAAGAACATGAGGGTGAATACATTATCACAGAATTTTCATTTT